TGTACAGCGCCAGGCTCCTTCACACTTCGTGATGGATACAATGCATGTTTAGTCTGAGTTCAAACATTGATTGGGCTAGTTAGAGGTACTCGAGCATTCTGCTTCGTTACTCTGAACTACGTGAATGAGGTCAGTCYTGTCAGGTCAGTCTTGTRTCCAAGTCTTCCCTGYGCTCTTCAGCATCTTTATGTATGAATGAGAATGTACATTGCTTGTCGAGATCCTACTCGTACCGCATTGTCTATCCAGTCCTTTTCATCACATTGCAGATTCTCGGTTTATTACGTACATTGCATATCTGTGCATGTAACAGTTGGTATCAGAGCTTTTGCACGTGAATCAGGACGATCTGATTTGACACGTGTGCGGGGATCAAAAAGCTAGTTAGTCTTTTCTGTTTGATTAGGACATACTAGTTAGACCCCAAAATCACGATCTTGACCTTACTACAAAAAAAAAAAATCAAGAAGTTTTCTTTTCTCGGATTTTGTTTTCTCGCTATTCTGCTGTGGAAAATCGCTATATCGCAACATCTGAAATTCCTATTTTTGTTTTTCTTTCTGAAAATTCGAAATTTCGTTGTTAAAAAAAAAAAATCCAGAATATATTTCTTTTTGAAAGTTTCGATTTTCTGTTGSATTTCCCGTTACTTAGAACTTCGGAATATCTTCTTTTCTGAAATTCGTTTTTTTATTCCCATCGGAATAAATCTGAATATCTGTCATTTCTGTWCGGACTTTTTTTCGCAGTTCTTGGATTCTGTCAGTTGGTTCTATAAATCGGTGGCAGTCTAAAGTCGAATTTTTTTTCGCTTTCAAAGATCATTTCGTACTTCAAGGGAGATTGGGAGACCTACCGAACTTGAAAAAAATCGGGATTTTTATTTTTCTCGAATTTTTTTTTTTTTGCAAAGTTCAAACTTTTCTGGTTTGATTAGTGGCCCCTTATCTAAGTGTGAGTTGGGCGATTATCCCACCCACCCCTCCCCACCTATGTTGTTGCCATYTCTTGCCTTGCCGTTTCTGTTTGTATCCGGGTACCCCCTGCGGCGGCATTGGTAAGTTGCCACGTYAGTAGGCCACGTCAGCAGACCAYGTCAGCAGGACACGTCAGCAGGCTACGTAAGTACGTCAGCAGACCACGTCAGCAGGCTACATCAGCAGGACACGTCAGCATTGCCACGTCAGCATTGCCACGTCAGCATTGCCACGTCAGCAGCAAGGGATACCACATCAGCAGGCACTGGTCTGGTCTATGCTGTTGCGTTCACAGACAACAGTCATGGACCAGAAGGCCGGGGAAACAGACGAGGCCTATCAGGCCCGCATGTTAGCCTGGAGTACCGAGACAAAGAAGCGAGCAGATGACGCTGCCGCAGCAGCCAAGAAAAGGGCAGAAGATGTTGAACAGGCACGTCTGCTGGCCATGCAACAACAGCGCCAGCACGACGAGGCAGCAGCAAGGGCCGCCGATGAAGAAAAAACACAGCGTCGTGAGAAGATATTCACCGGAGAGCGGGCATTACTTACCATGGCAGCAGAATGGCGAAGCGAGGCCGATAACAGCCAGTTGGAGGACARSGCAAACAAGATAGCGCTCCTCCTCTCGTATCTCACGGATCTCCTGGCAACCTGCATTACGCAGCAGGCGGAGATCCTTGGTCTCGACAACTCGGTAGCTCAGCTCCAAGACCGCCTTCAACGGGTGGAGCAGCGACCAGTCGCCGCCGCYGACRCAGGCTCTTCCAACACTGCCGACTGCCTCACCGCATTGGAGATGCACGTCGGCTCCCTCCAGGACGGCGCACAGTTACAGAAGACCGCGACGCAACAGTTGCAGCAGCGGATCTGCACTACCGCCACCACCTCGAGTCCGGAGCCGCGCGAGACAGCTCCTAAGTTCGATGGGCAGGAGATCTTCCACGACTCAATCAAGAYAGATCCAATTCCATGGTTTCGCAAGTTCGAGCTCACGCTGCAGCTCCACAACGTCAAGGAACACAAGCATCACGCCTACTTGTRCTCTCGCTCAGGGGGCGCGTGTCAGGCTTGGTTGGACAACCTGTTGTCCAAGTACGGAGTGGTAGCTAACGACTTGCACACCAAGATCACTTGGGATGATCTGAAGGCAGCGTGGCACAAGCGGTTCCAGGTGGAGCCGCCGGAGATCAAAGCCATGGACAAGCTCATGGTCTTCGAGCAAGGCACGCTGCCGAGTACGGACTGGATMGTCGAGTACCAACGCTTGACGTCAGTCCCAGACATCCARATGGGCTTCAAGGCCATCCGCCACTACTTCATCTCAAGGTAATGTCCGACATTGAGCAATGCCCTGACGCATGTCGAGGACACCTTGACGACRACGGCGGAGTTATTTGAYAAGGCTGCRCAGATCATCGTCACGAACAAGGAGGCCAAGAACCTCCGTTCATCTGCGTCAGGCCCGAGCAGGGACCAGCATCGGCCAAGAGTGGCCGTGGTCGTAGCGGCAGCGCCGTTAGACCAAACCAGCGAGGCTGCGTCTGCCAGTGAAGGAGRCARATTCGCAGCCGCCCGGGAAGGTGGCCGCGCCGGCAGAGGCCGAGGGCGCGGCAAGCCGWAGACACWCACCGTTTCTAGCCCCGGGCCCGGTGCAGCAGCTSAGACAGGCCCATGGACCCCGTATGGCATCTCCGAGTCCRCATACAAGGCGCGCGAGAGATTCCACTATTGCCTTTGGTGCAACARCGATCTTCATCAGACGCAGGTTTGCCCATTGAAAGGCAAGGGCAGACAGGGAAACTGAGCACCGCCGAGAGTGACGCGGCGACACTCTCGAYGCCTTCGGWACTGGTTTCTTAGCGAGTGACCAGCCTTCATTCCGAGGCGCACGCGGAAGTCGACAGTCCTCCGCTTCTATTTTCTTTTGAGGACTATGCTGCCCGGCTCGTTCCAACGCTGGGTACTCAAGCTCAAGGACAAGGAGTGTGTGCGGTTTCTTCTCCGTCCGGCAACAGCGACATATCGTCCTCAAGTGGTTCGTCACGGGATTCGGCGCGCGAGATCAAGATAGAGGTTTTGGACCCGCTCACGTCTGAGGACTTTGCATGGCTTCCTCTCCCGACCACAGGCTGTTTGCCGGGACCGCAATGCGCAGCGCTTAGCGCTCATCTCCACACTTACCTTTCCTTTTATGCACCACCAACTTCACCGACGGATGACGAAGTCGCGGTGGGGGACATCCTCGCGTACATTACCAAGGTGGTCCGCGAGTTTCGCATGCAGCGGTACGATAACAACAATGCACCACTCATGTATGTCCGCATCCAGGTTGGGCAAGCGTCCTGCAGCGCTTTGCTGGATAGCGGCGCGACTCACAACTTCATGAGCCAGTCTTTTATGCAAAGAGCTGGCCTTGGCGCACAAGTTCGGAGGAAGGCAAACCCGACGGCGATCAAGTTGGCGGATGGAAAGACGCAGCAACTACTCGACCGTTACATGGAGGCCGTGCCGGTCTACTTCGCACCTCATGCATGCGAACCGGTGACATTCGATATTCTTGACACGGACTTCGACATCATTCTGGGAATGCCTTGGCTTCCAAGTGCGGATCACACGGTCAACTTCCATCGGCGGACTCTTAGCGTTCGCGAGGCCTTCGACGCGGAAGTGGCGTGTACGATTCCTCTACCGCACTCTTCGATCCGGTGCCAAGTGGTAACAGCCAAATCATTCTGGGCAACTTGTGCTTACGAGCAGCCCGAGGAGATCAGCATATGTTTCCTACGGACCGTCGCGGCAGCCGACTCTTCACCCACGGACTTGTCTTCGGACCCCCGATCTCGATTCAGCCAAACGACCGCTACAAAACCGCATTCAAGACGCGGTACGGGCATTTTGAGTGGGTGGTCATGCCTTTTGGCCTCACCAATGCCCCGGCGACGTTCGAGGCGGCGATGACCAATGAGTTATGTGCAATGTTGGACCGGTTCGTTCTGGTCTACTTAGACGATATTCTTGTCTACAGCCGGACATTGGAGGCTTATCTTGGACATCTTCGACGAGTGTTGGAGACGCTCCGTCGTGCCAAGTACAAGGCCAACCGCGACAAGTGCGAATTTGTCCGGCAAGAGCTGGAATACTTGGGCCATTTTGTCACACCGGAGGGCATTAGTCCGCTATCGGACAAGATTCAGGCCATCCAAGAGTGGCCGGAGCCTCGGAACGTCACGGATGTCCGCTCGTTCCTCGATCTGACCGGCTACTATCAGCGCTTCATCAAAGGCTACTCCAAGATCGTGGCCCACTTGAACAAACTTCAGTGCGAGGATCGGCCGTTTGACTTCGGAGAAGAGGCGCGAGGATCATTCTTCGCTCTCAAAGCCGCGCTATTGTCTGCGGAGGTCTTGCGAATCTACGACCCGCTCGCGCCTACACGTGT